TATTTTGGGGTATGCACACATGCCACAGCACAACTTGTAGAGATCAGAGGATAAGTTAAAGAAGTCAATAATTCTCTCCTTCCACTATGTGGATCCTGGAGAATGAACTCAAGTCATGAGGCTTCTTGGTAAGTACCACCTCATGCCTGAAAATGCTTTAAATGAACCTACTTACAACAAAAAATTTGGGGTGATTTCTAATTTTTTAAACTTTAAACATTCATATTTTTCCTGATTTCCCTTCAGCAATAAAGCCCCACAGAAACCAATGGTATACACAGCTAGGTGAGGCATGCGACATAGCTTTAATTGTTAAGAAACAGAGCTAATGAACTATACCATCAATCTATACCTCATACCAGCCAGTTTTAGTTTAAAAACTTAGTTGGCACCATAAAACCAGATTAGGAAGGGACAGAACAGGTGCTGGTCCATTCAGCTTCTGCCTGTCCACCTTTGCCACTGCCACTTCCCGGTCAAGGAGAGAATTGCTTCTAAAACTGCTAACACTCATTCAAGTTAGGCTATAAACATTATACCTAAATGCAATGTCATCAAATGGAAGCATGGATTTGCATTCAAAATATCAAGATAAACAAAAAAAACATTTGAAATCAAGGTGGAGGAGAGCTGGGGGTGCAGCTCTGTGGTAGAATACCACCATTTCTTTCCACTGGGTCTAGTGCACCAGCTGCACCAAATTGCTAAGCAATACCCATATGCCTGGTAGCAGTGACAGCTAGAAATTCACTTCTGCTTCAATTACAATAGTCAAAGTACAACCCAAACATCAATTCAGTCAGAGCTGCCATCTTTACATATGTGCATGCTCCCTGGGGACTGAAGCATCCAATATACATGTCCTGGCTGTAATGAAGAGAAGCTTGTCATCTCTTTAACCCAGTGAAGCAATATAGACAACATGAAAAATTCAAAAGGTTCAGAAACAGTTGAAATAACTAAGAATCTTGTACAAATATCAGTATATAGTAGGCTTCTTCTCCCACTGATAAAAATGTACTCTTCTAACTACACTTAATGGGTTACTGAAACAAATTCCATGGTATTTTTAGAAAAACCATTCCCTTAGCCTGTTGTGGTAGCACACACCTTTAAACCCAACACTTCCAGAGGTAAATGTAAGTGGATCCCTGTGAGATCCAGGCCAGCCTGGTCTATTGGTCTCTATAGTAAGTTCCAGGCCAGCCAGGGCTACAAGAGACCCTGTTTCAAAAATAAAAAAAGTATTCCCCTGATTGTCCAGCACTCAATACTTTGCAACTTTGCACACTAAGGTGCTTGCTGGGCCTATTATATCATTTAACCTCTCTCTGCCTCAGTTTTCATGACTTAAACTTTGAGATGAACTCTAGGGGGCTGGAGAGAGAGATGGCTCAGTGGTAAAGAGAGTTTATTGTTCTTCCAGAGGACCCAAGTTCAGTTCCCAGCACCCAAGTAGGACATCTCACAACTGCCTGTAACTCTAGCTCCAAGGGATCCAACACCCTCTTCTGGTCTCTGAAGGCACCAGCAAACACACACACACAAATAAATCTTTTTTTAAAAAGAGCTCTAATTTGAATTAAAAATGTATTATTTACATGATAAATTAACATATAAGTATCTTCTGTTAAGCTATGGAAACCTTATATATTTTGCATCAAGAAAAGTGTGAGGAATACCCCAGCGTGGTGGCACATGCCTTTAATCCCAGCATTTAGAAGGCAGAGGCAGGAGGATCTCTGTAACATAGAGGCCAGCCTGGTCTCCACACCAAGTTCCAGGCCAGCTGTGGCTACAAGGAGACCTATGTTTCTCTAATTACAACACAAGAAACAGCAAAAAGTTTTAAAAACTAATGTCGCTGGGGCTGGAGACTAAAAACAAAACAAAACAAAAAACAAAAACTAATGTCCTGGGGCTGGAGAGATGGCTCAGTGGTTGACAGAACTGACTGCTCTTGCAGAGGACCTGAGTTTGACTCCCAGCACCCACATGACAGCTAACAACTGTCTGTAATTCCAGTTCCAGGGGATCTGACATCTTCTTCTGACCTCTGCAGGCACTGCACAACATGGGTGTACTTAGACACATGCAGGCAATACAGCAGTATACTCATACATAAAATAAAAATAAAATACTTTTTTTTTTTGTCTTTTTGAGACAGGGTTTCCCTGTAGTCCCAACTGTCCTGGAACTCACAAAGATCCGCCTGTCTCTGCCTCCCAAGTGCTGGGACGGCACCATGCCCGGCAAATAAAATACTTCTTAAAAAAGATTTGTTAAGGGGGCTGGAGAGATGGCTCAGCAGTTAAGAGCACTGACTGCTCTTGTAGAGAACCCAGGTTCGATTCCCAGCACCCACATGGCAGCTATGAACTGTCCTTAACTCTAGTTCCAGGGGAATCCAACAAAGCCCTCTTCTGACCTCTGCGGCATTGCACGACATGGGTACACTCACATACATGCAGGCAATACACTTATGCACATAAAATAAAAATAAAAATTTTTTTTAAAGATTTATCTAAAAAACAACAACAACAAACTAATGTCCTGGTTGGAAAGGTGGCTCAGCCCTGGCTGCTCTTATAGAGCACCTGGATTTGGTTCCCAGCACCCACATGGCAATTACCAATCATCTGTAACTTCAGTTCCAGGGGATCTAATGCATGCACACGGTGCACTTACACACATGCAGGTAAAATACTCGTACACATAAAATAAAAATAAACAAAAAAAATTTTTAAGCAGACAAATGTCCTTAAGGTTTAACAGATGATGTGAGTCTGATTCTATAGCAAATATGAACAATAAAGGCTAAGGTTCATAACACTGGAACAGAGAAAAACTGAGTCTTTAATCATAATCATTCCACTTTTAAAATTTAGAGAACTATCATTTTCTTGTATGATAAATTAGTCTAGAGATCAACAGGTAAGAAGTGTGTAATCCCAGCACTCAGGAGGCAGAGTCAGGAGGATCAGAAGTTTAAGGTCCTTCTCAGTGACAGAGCAACTACCAGGAAAACCTGAACTACATACAGGATATACTGTCTAGGAAAAAAAAAAGTAGAAAATTTTGAATCTATATTTTTAATTTTTAAAAATTAGGGGAAGCTGGGGCCCAAGGATGGCCCAGTGGTTAAGAGTGCTTGCTGCTCTTCCAGAGGACCCAAGTTCAGTTCTCAGCACCCAAGTCAGGTAGCTCCCTATAACTTCAGCTCCAGGTGATTCCAGGCACCCTCTTCTGGCCTCTGCAGGCAACCACACACACCTATACATAAATAAAAATAAATCTTTTAAAAATGGGGGAATCTAGGTGTAATGGCACATGCCTTTGATTCCAGCACTTGGGAGTCAAAGGAAGGTGGATCTCTGCATTCAAGGCCAGGCTGGTCTACACAGTGAGTTCCAGGCCAGCAAGGGCTACACAGTGAGATCCTTTCTCCAAAAAAAAGGGGTCAGGGAATTGCAAGGTGAATCATTCTCAGTCCTTCATTCAGTTTATGCTGTCTGTTACACTCAGTTTTTATTTGTCTGTGTGCACTTCAAATCACTTTTTAGGTTGCACACAGCAAGTCTTTTCCATCAAGTTTTAAATCTAATGCTTTATGTAATGCAATATATTTACACTGATATTTTACTTCATCAGGTGGATTACTAGTACAGTTGGTTTACATACTTTTTGGTCTGGAAGCAGGATGAGTAAAACCAACTTCAGGTCTCAGAGAGCTGTGACATTTTATCTATGTAGCTTCTCAATTTCCTCTGCCCTATTCCCAAATCTGTCAGAAAGACTGAGTCCTGTAAAGAGATGTTTACTAGCCAAATTAAAGAGGAAGCCCTTCCCCTACCTGTCAGCTGCCATAATCAGTTATGTGATTGCACCCAATAAACAAAATAGACTGGCTCAATCCTAAACAATTCCCTCATCACAGGAAGCCCCTGGTAGAATTGTAACTTCAACTGAAAAAAGAAAAAAGAAAAAAAAAATCCCTTTAAACCAGCTCCAACTATCTACAACAGTATAGCAGCAGCACAAATTAAACCAATTCTCACTGAAGAAAGGCTATGTGTGGATTACCTTGGATCAGCCCCAAGATCTAATATGCAGACACTCAGCGAATAACAAGTCACCTCCCTAAACTATGAAACTTTTTCCTTCATCCCAAATAATCTCAATGAAAGTTCTCATGTGAACCAAGAATCGAGAGTCAAAAACAAGTCAAAACAACAACAAACCACAAGGAGAATTATCGGCTCTGGGACCACATCCCAACTGTCTCAGCACTCTAGACAGAAGTTCAAATGCTGTTTTCCTTTCACCCTCCTGCCCCTAACGCCCCGAGATTCTTAAGAAAGCAATATTCACATCCTCGGACCGCTGGCAAGAAGGGGATGGGGTTGCAATTACCAAGGAAGTTAAAAAGGAGGGAATTATTTCAGAACCACGGTTCTCCCTGCAAACGGAAATGTAAACGACAGCCTTCGGGGGACGCCGGTGGGGACATTAAAAAGATGTGCAGGGTGTGTGCATTTGAGAGTCTCCAGGCAGGCTGAGGACCCGGAGCAGAAAGTCAGGAAACCTGTGCTTTCCCTGCTGGCTTCCACTCTTTCCCAACAGGAGAGGAAGCTAAGAACTGGGGGAAGGGAGGGATGTTATCGTGCTCCTACTTGGGGGTACACAAACAGGCCTTGAGGCTCCTTCAGCTACTCCCCGTAACCAGGGTGGAGGAGGTTTTAAGGGACGAGGGAATAGTACTACCCACCTCGGTTCAAAAGGGGAGAGTGTGAAAATAAAGTAAGGGAGAACGAAGGAAGCCAGATGGAGCGCCCCTAAAGGAGCCCCTGGGTCACTCGTCCCCAAGAGCAAGCAAAAGGGCTGGGATAAAGGGGACGGAGGGCTGGTCCGGGCAAGGCCCCACCCCCCCGGTTTAGGAGGGAAGGGGAGCCCCAGCTCCGCCGCCCCGGATCCCCGCACCTCCCCCCCGCCGCCCCCTCTCGCCGCCGCTCCCCGGCCCTGCCCCGGCCTCCCGAGCCCCCCGCAGCAGGGGAGGCGGCAGCTCCGCGCTCCCCTCACCCACCGCATCTTCACCCCCACCCGCGCCCACCTCCGGCCCGCTCAGGCCCGTTACCTGCTCGTCGAAGCGGCTGACCACGGCCTGGACCCATTCCACCGGCCTGTGCGCGGCCATGTCCTCCCCGCGGCCGGGGGACGGCGCTGAGGTGAGGCAGCGGCCAGCCGAGGGGCTGAGAAGGGGTGGCAAGCGTTCCCACGGGGGTGGGGACCGGGGCCGCGCGGCCCGCCGGGAGGGGGAAAGGGGAAGGGGGCGTTGGTGAGGAGGCCGGGGGAGGGGACGGGGAGGGGGCCCGGGGAGGGGAGGGCGCCTCTCGGTCGCTCTCCCCACTAGCGCCGTCTCCCCTCAGCCATCACAGTCCAAGACGCCGCCATGACACCCCACCGGAAGTGGGATCCTTTCCACGGCCCGGGGAGAGGGAGAGCGAGCGAGCTCGAGATTGAGAGCGCGGCTGGGAAAGGGAGGGGGAAGCGAGAGGGAAGGGGCCTGCCGCGCATGCGCCCGCGCCGGCCGCTTTCATTAATGAAAAAGTGAGTCCTCCTGGAGGTGACGTCACCTAGCTGCTCCGGGTCCGGCGGCGGCGCGCGTCGATCCACACTGCTGGTGTCCCCACGTAGACCCGCACTGGGCTCCGGCCCGAGAATCCCGGCCGATCCAGAGCTCGGGCAAGCAGCCCCGCCGCTGCGTCGGCCCGCCCTTCCCCCGCCGGCCTTGGGGCGGATCGCTCCGGGGTTGGAAATTAGGGTGTCCTGGGGCTAGGCTTTCTCTGCCCGCAGATGTCTGCGGATGAGCTCTGTACGAGGCTATGTTCAGTCCCTCTCTGCCTTGGGCTCGCTCTCAAAAAAAGAAGGCGCACCGCACATCCCAGTCTTTGAGATTTTTGTAGGCTGCTGAGAAACAGGAAAAAGATGGCCAAGAGAGATTCCGTGATTTTTTTTTTTTAAAGGTCGCTTAAAACCCAAAGCTAGATCCAGTGACGATCAGAGTACCAACTCCAAAAATCCCCAGCCAGAACTTCCTCTACAAGACTGATGGGCATCCAGGTTAATGAAACTTTTTTGCACGGTTGGGAACAGATTGAAATTTCATTCACTACCCAGTAAACGCCTTTAAAGGGTCAAACATACATCCAGCACATTCAACACATTGTCTCATGATTCCACCCTCAACAAGCCTTTCCAATAGGGCTGGTTACCCTTACCTAACTAATGAATAGAACCTTGGAGGTTCCCGGATATATATACTCAAGATCAGAATTGATAGGTAGCAGAGTTGGAGTGCAAAACCAGGTCGTTTGACTTCAAGAATGGAAAAAGACTGGCTCTCCAGAAACAAGGGCCTTCCCGGTGCCCAATACCAGAGTTAGAAGGACTTCATGTGGAATTGGTTGTGCACTTTTCACAGAAGAGGATCACAACCAAAACACAGGATGTTCTCTTACATTGAACTCTGAAATGAGTTACTTAAAATTTATCTTCTTAAATGCATTTTATTTAAGCCAAAGTTAAAATGTGTTTACATATTCAAAGAGCACACTATAGTCATCATCCAGTTAGGCCACATGGAAAGATACCAACTGGATGATAAGATGAAGCAAAACCACACTTTTCATTTTACCACAGAAAATCCACAAAGCCAATAAGTCCATGTACAGAGAGCTATCTCTGTAAGAGAAGTTTCAAGACTGGGTAGGTTGGTGATCTTCCAAAACACAAATTAATGTTTGATTCCACTAGAACGAAAGGACAGACTTTGAATTATTTGGTCCCTTTTTGTGAAAGATGTAATATGAATGCTGACTAATTTCTTCAGATGGTGTCAGAAATGATGACAGTGCTGAAAAGAAATGGATGAATATTGAATAACTTTGTGTGCTTTCTGCAACTAGGACCCCTTAAAAAGCTCTTACTCATAGCCCCAAATGGTATTCCAACATGTCTACCTCACTGCTAAATATCCAGCCCCACAGTGGTCCTTTCCTTGTCTCACACTGCCTCTGAAACTCACTGGTTATATGTCTCCTCTTTGCCCTGGCTTTTTGCCTTCATCTTCTTTGAAATTCTGAACATGGCTGCCTGAGCCCTGAGTTCCTGGCCTCCATTATCATCCCATTACTAAATGCCTTCTGTCTCCTTTCTCTCCTTGTCTGGTTTTCTCTCTGATTCTCCATTCCTCTCTGATCTTAAGTTCTGGCCTTTTGCTCCTCTTCAGCTTACTCAGCCAGCAGGTCATTAATTCATTTTACTGTGTATGTGGGGTACTATTTCCTCTCCTGCAAACCAAGCATCTCATTGTAGTGAAGGTCTAGCCTTCACTCAGGCTCCTCTCCAATAAACTCATTCAATTCTATTAAGCCAATCATAAGTATCCGCCTGCCTGTTTTACTCCTTTAACTTTGTTAATGATGCATAGTATGCTATGGAGTCAAAACCAAATTGCCAAAGAAGAGAATACACAAACTGGTTAACTAAGGAGCACCCCTACCCCCATTTAAAAGAGAGATACCGCCAGGCGTGGTGGTGCGCGCCTTTGATCCCAGCACTCAGAAGGCAGAGGCAGGTGGATCTCTGCGAGTTCAAAGCCAGCCTGGTCTACATAGTGAGTTCCAGGACAGCTGGGGCTACAGGGAGACCCTGTCTCAAAAAGACCAAAAAAAAAAAAAAAGACTCAACTCCAGCCAGTTACTGCCATGCACAAATGTTGCCCCCCCATGTTGCTAGATCTTCTCGTTATTCAAGAAAAGCTGGAGATTCAAACTTATGCATAAACTCTTCCAGTTTTACATTGTGACAACCAAATATTTTTTTAATGTTATGCAATCAAATAAAATAAGTCTGCTGTCTGAATTTAGCTCATGGAAACCACTTGGACTAGATGTAGTCTAGTGGGAATGCTTACACTGCTGAGCAGAATAGATTCAGGTTTGTATCCTAACTTCCCCTATTCTGCACTCACTCAACCAACATGAATATTAAGGATTATGTAAGTATTAGATATTGCATTTCCCTCATTCATCTGTTTTTGTTGGGTTTTTTGTTGTTGTTTTTGTTGTTCTTTTTGAGACAGGGTCTCCCTGTAGCTCCAGCTGACCTTGAACTCACAGACATCCACCTGCCTCTGTCTCCCAAGTGCTGGAATTAAAGTCATGTTACAAGGGCCTTTTGTCTCCTGATTCTACCCACTCCCCATCTCCAGTGATATAGCACCTATCACCCTGCCCCCACATACCAAAGAGCACAGGCCCTTCAGGGCTAAGATACTGTGTCCTAGCTGCTGAAATAAGTTGGGGCGAGCAGCCCTCCACTGAATCCCACTCCAGGAATTGCCTTCAGCTGAAGAGAGCTCTTTCATGCTAAGCTACAGCACTCCCAAGAGCCTGCGCAGACCAGATATAAGGTCAGGGTGGGCCTCTCTGAAGTTTATCCTGGGCCTAGAGCTCCCTGACAGGATCAGCTCCCAAGAAATGGATCAGCTGAAGCTTTTGCTGTGGCTACATTTAATTCAACTTCTCCTTCTCCTCAGTCCCTTCACTACTGCATGATGCTGACACCAAGGGCACTAAGTCCCACAAGAGGATCTGATCCCGTGGAGCAGAATCACCCTGTGACCAACTAGCAGTGAGGACTCCAGGCGAACCCCCTGTAGACCTTGGCATGCTGTATCAGCATGACTTTAAAACTTTCAGCAATGGTAAAAGGATGAGATGTAGGACTGGAGAGATGGTTCAGTGGTTAAGGACACTTGCTGCTCTTTCAAAGGACCTGAGCTTGGTCCCCATCACCCATGTCAGGTGGCTCACAACCACCTGTAACTCCAGCTCCATGAGATCTGATGATGCCCTCTTCTACCCTTGTTGTCTTAGGGTATTTCCTGATTCTACCCGCTTCCCATCTCCATTGGCAAAGAGAGTGGCAAAGAAACCTCTCTCTTTCCCACTCTCTCCCTTCCTCTCTCCTCTCTCTCAAACACACACACACACACATAAATAAATAAATGTAGTTGTTTAAATGATGGTTATAATACTAATGGAAGAATGCACCAGCAGGTGCAATGTAGCAGGCATTTTTAAAATATGAGAGAAAAATAGTAATTTAAGGACAGGTGACAGGCATATGACACACACCTGTAATCCCAGCACTTGGGAAGCTAAGATAGGACAAAGGCAAGATCGTGACCATGCTGATGAAATCCTGTCTCAAAGCAACAATTACAGTACACACACATATGGAACTGGATAACTATGGCTGCAGTAAGTCTATTCCTTGAAGAAAGCCAATAGAAGATTTAAAGTGATTCATCAAAGGGTAAGGAAAGAAGCCAGAGTGTCTCCTTAGCGACTTGTGAGAAGGCAAAAAAAGCTAAGGATAAAGCTTGGACTTAATTATAAAAGTAGTAGAACTTCAGAAAAATGCTCAGCCCTGGCAAGTCTGCCAGGCCAAGGTCAGGACTAACAGTTGGGAAAAGTGGGACCCTGACACCTATGATGGGATATCTGGGTCCAAACACTTAGAAACCTTTAAAACCACATCACCTGAATGCTCTGAGGTTATAGACATGTCTCCGTCTTCTGTGTTAAAGGCTAGTGTCCCATCCCTCTTACTTGGAGATCCATTGGTATATCTGCCTTGCAAGGTAATAGACACCTTCCTCAGGATCGACTGATACCTGTTTACCTATCTACCAGACTAATAACCAAGGTCAAGTTGAAAAATAACTCTCCTAAGGAAATGTTAGAACCATTAATGGAAGAAAGACACTGTAGCTTGAAGGAAATAAGAAGCCAGCCAACACATAAATACCTGCAAAAGCCAGGAGAGCATGGGATTGGGTCCCTAGATTGTGTTGGGAAGGGAAAGAGGGGAACATAATGCTAAACAAGGCAGAGTTTATTGATATAAGCACATTCCCGTACTGTGGTATCTACATCCTGGTCAGGCCCCTAGGAAATGGTACTGATGGGTTGCCAGGATGGCTCTAGGAAGCTTGGAGAAAGCAGTGGCCTGCGCTAGGCAAACTGGAGAAGCTAGAGCTATGTGGAAAACAATGGAATAAGGGAATGATAGATTCCAAGAAGGCACACACCTAATTCCCAGTATTCAAGTGCAGAGACATGAGTTTGAGGCCAGCCTGGCTACATAGTGAGTTTGA